AGGAGGTCTTCTCCCCTAGAAAGCTGCACACTCTGCCCAGCTGGTGCGATCGCCGCATGACAGTGTTTCCCAGTGTCACAGACACCTCAGAGAAGAGTCTTTTGACCTTCTCCAAAGCCCACCTAGTTCCTTGTCCTCCACTCTCCCACCACCTCTCTGTATTTGTGAATTCCCAGTCTCCTCCTTCACCTTTCCCTATGGGAATGGCTAGGGAATGCCTGCCAGCTGTCTCTCCCACACACCCCATAGCTCACCAAAAGACCTTGCTGTAAAAGAATATGCTGTTATGAGATTTGAGATGGGTACAAGAGCAATTACTGAGGGACACTGGTTTTCTTCTTCCTTTTAGCTGTTCAGGAGAAAACTAGCACCACTGGAGGCTTGCTCATTTTATTCCTCCAGATCAGAGACCTGCTGCTGTGGCATCTGTCCATGCTGAGCAGGTACCCACTGTCAAGTCTGTAGGGAGAGTCTGCAGCCACAGCAGGACACCATCAAACACTCACCAGAGCACATCTGCTGCTGCTAAGAAACTACACCGAATCAATCAGCTTCTCAGTGAATCACACCACTGGAAAGCATAGCATTTCAAGTCACTCCAGGTCCCCTTTTTAAAAATAAAATGGGACAAGGATGGGGAAGGGGGAGGAGGAACACTGAGAAGGTGAGAGTTGAAGGTAAGGCTTATCTGGGCTGCAGGCAGGTGGCATGTATGAAGCTGTTATAAAACACATGAACAGTAAAAGCCAAAGTAGGGTTCCTCATCTCACACAGAAGTGGTATGTTCAGAATGATGGATTTTACCCTTTCTGGTCAGAAACTGTGCTTTGCTGCCCTTCATGAGATCCCGGAGCAACTCCCCTGACTTCACCTGAACCTTTCAGAAGACCCTCCTGTCTGACTGTCAGACCACAGAATTACCAAAGAGAGCCCAACATCCTGCCCTGCAGGGACACATCATATCTCAGACCCTTGAGGAGGGTGGGCAGTAGGAATGGGTGGAAACAGGAGGTAGGATGCTCATCTCCCACTGTCAGCCACCTCAGAACTGGGCAACTTAGTCTAAACTAGTTCCCTCGTAACATACTTATGGAGGAGTCCAAGGTACAAGAACCTTCTGGCACAGCCCAGCTTTCTCCACAGACCATAAGGAGAGCCTGGACAGATAACTTTTAAATGACGCCAATAATGCCCATCTTCAGCAAAAAATAAACAGAGCAGACACCTTCTGCATACACAGCCAAATGTTACAGGGAGTCCTCTACTCTCCTACACCAAGACATTATGACTTGGAAGAAAAGCTTTTGGAAGACACAAGCATTGCAAAATCTGAAAATTTTTGGCATGAAAATCCTTTTTGGTCTCCTTTTCTTGTGCAGAGGAAGATTTACCAGTTTACTGGTCAGAGTAGATTTGGAGTGAAGACGGAGGGAAAAAAAAGAATCCAGATTTTCTTTGAAACATTGTGTCTTGATCCTCTTCCCCAGTGTCAACCAAAAATTTCCACACTTTTTTTGTAAATATCTCTCTCCATCTTTTTTTATCTATCATTTCGAAGTACTTTGAGGTGGCTGGATAGAAGCACTCTATGTGCAAATTACCAGGAGAAAAGTCAGAAACAGCCAGTCCTCTTCTACCCAATATATACAAGAGCTGAAGTTGTTTACACCAGTATAATTTTTCAGGGTAATCAAATGTTTTCTTTTAACCCCCAATAATCCAGGGGTTCTCTCAAGATCCTGACCATGAAACACAGCAGAGTTGGCCCAACTCAGGAAACACAGCCAAGAAAAGCAGATTTTGTTGATGAGGACTGAGATGCTTCAGACAGAAATCTATGGAGAGCTGATAACTGGAATAGCCAAGGATGCTACAAGTTGCAATTGAATGTATTTGCAGAGCCATGGGCAGCCTGAAGCTGGTCATGAAGATGACGAACAGTAAATTTTAAATATATGAGCAGACAATGTGATGGAAAAGCTCACACCAGGATCCAGCAACTGCTGTCTTCCTTTGAGCACCTAAATCTGTAAAACTAAGAATCACAATTGAGAGAAACTCTTGTCTCCTGAAAACTGCTTTCAAGCTGCAGCATACTGCCAGTATTGTTTTACCTACTTATTATCATGAAGACGCTGAGTCAGGTGCTTTCAGAATACACAGGCTTTCACTCCTTCTCTTTTCTGATACTCTATATAAAGTTGCATTAATCTTCACTTCAGATAACATGATACACTGAGAAGCAAAGTGGGAAAAATTTCCCAACTGCATACAAAGGGATACAGGACTTCAAATACTGTTTGTCTCACAAGAAAACTTGGTGTCCTCATTTTCAGGCTGAGGTCACATTCCTTCAGCACATTTTAATGAAATATAGCTGTTTAATAAGATTTCTCAGCATGCTTCTTGTTCCATTGGGCAATACTGTGCCAATGTTTCTCATTTTCATTCTCTTGTTTTAGTGTCTGACTCTTGCTTTGCCTTCTATCTGTCCTCACTATAGTACAAATTAAAATGCCACTCCCACTGTCAGTCAGAGCCAAAAATAAAGCTAAAGGCAATAATTTATTGTGCATTCAACTAAAAATTCTATTCCCCAAATAACATTATGGATAACATCCATCTGGTTTGAAATCTAGTTCTGATTATGCAGAATAGCTTTTGGCTGGTCTTCTGCTAGCAGTGCCAGCTGTTGCTGTTGAATGATCAATGTGATCATGGTGCCAAATAGATTTAATTTCTGACTTCTTTCAACCCAAGGGAGAATAGTCTGACATAACCAAAAACCATCTAAAGTTTAACTATTGTCTCATATCTTCCTGCTTGCAAAATTCCAGACTTATTTTGAAGTAATACCCTAGATACAAGTCATAATAGTCTAAGGGCTCTGCTAGAGTTTTAGCTGTATGTTAGATGGGACTGTTAGCTGCCCTGTGGACATGCTTACTGCACAACAGCTGTGTAGCATGGGCACAGATTCAGTATGTTAGAAAGCAGAAACCAACTTCAGGAGCTGTATGGTTCTGTCATAAGGATCTAACCAATCTACTCCAGTGACACTAAAAAACAAAGTTATCACGTCTCATCTTTTGACAGAAATCTTGCTTTTTCATGACTCAGACACAGACATGAAACCCAGATCCAGAAAAGTCCAAACATCTTTCACCACAGATCTCTGATGACAGTGACAGCAAAGATGTTCAAAGCCGGACTTTTATTATGCTACCATCTCCTCTTAGGATATTGTCCATGTGATGCATATTTTTCAGGCTCACCCTCTTCCACTTAGCCCACCTACTCAGGGCTCTTGCTTGTCACTTCCAGCTCTCTGAAGTAGCTCAACTTCCCTGCCTCCACCCCCATTCAGGTCCTCTGACTTTCTGAGAAGTCTACTTGAACTGAGAAGTGAATACACTCATTTGCAATTTGGAAACACTGCTCTCCCCCAGTACTTGCACTTTGAGCTGTAAGTATCCATGGGGAGATAGGCGAGTTGTAGGGCAGCTGAGGGCATTTGTTCCCTCCAGCTTTGCTCTCTCTTGAAAATCAACCTCTCAAATATCAGGAGGAGAGAGAATGGGATAGTCTGCAAGATGACTGGCTTCTAGCTAATTAAAATCTAATGTCAGTGTGAGCAACAATTACTGTTGTGTTTATGGAAGGGAAGAACCATAACAACATTCCCCAGGAACACAACAAACTTGAGCACTGCAAGTAGAACTGGCTTTGTAAGTACAAATCTGAAATGGGAGTTTGGGACTACAAAAAAGACCCCAACATTTAAGAGCATTTCAACCCAAATTAAATCAAAAATTCAAATGCATTTCTCCCACCTCATCCCTTCAGCTGCAAGACGGTTTGGGATGGCAGCTGTAATTCAAATCAGTCTCTAATTATTTGAAATGCTTAAACAAAATCCTTGCTTACAGTCAATTGGTTAAATCATCTGCTAGGTCAAGTCCTTGATTTAAGTGCAGTTTGTTCACATAAGGTAATGGAAAACAACAGCTCACATCCTTAAGTATGTGTGCATGTCTTTATAATGAGCCTGTATATAATCAACACATCAAGACTCAATAAATCCTATTCCAACAGCAGAATAAGCCTGCTTGTGTTACTGTGAATTAATCTCTCTTCTGGCTGACAGGGCTTGGACTCCACCCTCCTTGAGGGACCCTTGTCCTTCCATGACAGGGGACGCAGAGAAAGACAGCTGATTTTGGCAGCTGCTAGAGTCCTTTCTGCTGCCAGGGAGGAAAATACTGCAAGGCACATAAGGGGAGGCTAAGTGACCTATTTACACAGCAAGGGGGTGAGTGATTACCACCAACAAAAACGAGCAGGCAAGCACAGCACACCTGGGATATCCTTGCAGACTAATCCGAACTTAAAGAGTTTTCCCTGTGTATTTATGGTGACAACTCTTAAAGACATTTTTGCATTAACCAACCCTCCAGAGGAAAGTCTACATAGGTTTCCCATAAACAAGCATGACTGGATTTCAGTGCTTTCCTTCAGGAAATACTAATTTCAAGGATTCATATAGCATTAAAAAGTACTGACAAAAGAGGATACTACTGAGGACTGGTAGCAAGCTGAGCCCTCTCCTGACTTTGGGCTGTCAAAATAACAAACACGTCAGAAAGCACAAAGTCAGCATAGCCTTAGATGACAGAAAATTTGTTCTCTCTTGGTGTAGAGGGAAGTACAGCAACTAGGAGTGAAAAAAGCCCAATCTGCTGCCTGCCAGTCTTGTGCTGTCACCTTTTGTGTTTTGCCCAGTTCTGATAAAAAGGCACATCACATCTCTGTTGAGGGCACCCTGGCCATTGCAGAGGCCATCTCTCACCTAATGTTGTAAGGCAAAATGATTGATTTCTCCTGACAGATCAGGGATGCGCATCTTGGAAACACCATAAGTCACAGAGCTGCATTTTGTCAGGAACACTGCTGCTGTGTATTTTTCCTCTAGGGAGCAGTTTGGGAACATACGGTGCTTTATGCCAGTCAGCATTTCTCAAGTGAGCTGCACACACTTAGTTTTAAAGGTCTGTTCACATGTCCAAAGACAGCACAAAGAACACAGTTCTCTCACTTCTAAATAAATAAACAAACAAATGGTAGCACACACCACTGTTCCCTTAGGTTTCTCAAAGCATTTGCCTTACCTACCTCTCTCTGATGCTGTGCTCCATCCATGCACCAATCTGGCTGCACATTACCACATCCAAGAAGCAAGGTTAGGGTGCTACTGAGCTGGAGCTAACCATGCTGCTGAGGGCCCAGGCAGAGCAGACACACACATACTGCACGTCCTGCTCTGATTGCAAGCAATCTCATACATCCAAGCTTATGAAATACATCAGAGGTGGAGATGGAAAGGACTTTTATATGCTTTGATAGTACTAGGTTTGTCCCTGCTGGCTGCACTGATGTAGGAACACCAGTATGTAGAAACGAAGGGATTAAAAACAGGCGCACCTACCTGTCTGCCATCTTTTTGATTGCAGGCTTCCAGTGTGACTTGAGAGCCAGTAGAGAAGGAGGTAATGGAAAGACACTTGTCCTGCTGTCTAATTAAAGGGTCACTGAATACCCACTCCTTTGGAATAAGAAAAAGAAAGGTTCCATTAGGATCACAACAGCGATCAGATAAGGGAGAGAGTTTTTTCCATCAGATATTAAAAAAACCTCTATCCTTTGTTCTATTCTTATCAAAGGCTCCCTGGGAAGACTACCACAGCAGTCTTCACCTGATCAGAAGTTTATGCTCAGGCTTGGTGCACCATGACCATTTCAAAGCCTCCAGCTAGCTCCCCTCACCATCTGAGATGTCAGATTAACCTTGGATCCCATGCAACTCTTTGCTCTGCAGCTTTACAGATTCAGGACTACAAAGCAAGGAGGACCCCAAGCCCTGACTTACAAGACGTGCAACTGCTTCTGCACATTTTACAGCAGACATGTTCTGTAACAGGTATCCTGGACCTTGACAATCCTGGATTGTCAAGCGAAGCAAAACACATGCAAGCATATCCATGTATCCTCAGCACACATAAAGGACAAGCTGCTTCATTTTTCCCTCTGACTAGAGGGATGCCTGACCCAATCAACTATTATTACTGTACTTTCCCCAAGGAAGATAATACAAAATGCAGTAAATTTCAGAGATTTCAAATGGTAATGACATGGAACAATGAGTCAGATTAAATGGCATATTGAATGCTGGCTGCAAACTAGTTTCTAACAGTTAACAGATGTGAATATGTGTTTTCTGGCATAAAATATCCTACTGTGACCCTTAACTTTCTCAAGCTGCTTCCCTGCTGCTTTTAATCGCCAAAAGAAGAGGTTGAGTGGAGATCTTCAGCTCACATAAACCAGTACAGTTCCACTGCAGTTAGGAGAGCTGCACCATATTACTGCAGCTGAAATCTTAGCTATTTAAACTCTATTTGGGCTTTAAACTGAAACACATCTGTAAAACAGCACAATTCAAGTTATCTGCAGCTACAGCTAAACTGGCAGACCAAGGAATGTTTCTGATCCTGGGAAAATCTCTCACCCACATGCTAAAGTACTAGCCAAACACAGCCATGGAACAATTCTGGTAGGTTGGCCGATGAAGCAGAGCACATCCAAGCAACGATCTGAGTGTGAACAGCTACACGACTTAAACCCTGGTCGCACACCTACTGCACAACTTGTCACCCCCGGGGCATTCAAGCACTACCTTTCATCTTTGAGTGATGGAACTTCCTACTCTATGCCTGACTGCTGAGTCTGTTGAGCCAACAAAGCTCTAAGAGATGGGCACAGCTTCTCCTTCTGCTTGTGATTAAAATCATTCTTCCAAACGGTCAAATTCTTCCTTCATTCACCTCTATACAAACCCACCAAGGACAGAAATGCCTTTTCAATCTCAGGTAGTAAAAAGGGTAGAAGCAGGAGCAAAGCACCAAACTGAAGCCTGCCTTACCTGAGTGACAGGAGGATTGTTCACTGTCCCTTTACAGTTTCCCATGACAGCCAATATATTCCCTGTGGTATCCTGTGCCTGAGACTCCAGGCAGTTTCCTCCTTGTTTAATTATTCCTGGAATCAACTCCTTTTCAGGAATCCTTGAAGTAAAATGACAGTTGCATGGTACTTCATATACAGAAATGTCCAAAGCACTTTCACATTTATAAGGGCTTAACAGGCCCCTGACTGAAACACTGTCCCCTATATTTGACAGAAAACAGACAATATTATGCTATCCATTTGAAATATATGGAGGAGGCAAAAGTCAAGGGAGAACTTGGTCAAAGGACTGGTATCTTTTTGTTTCAGAAGGCATATCAGGATCTTGAGGTATACCCCAAGCAGTTTAATGTGTTGACTCTGAAATTCTGAAAGAGGCCATTTCCAGCAAAAAGCTATATCCACACTGATTTACCCTGCTTCTGCCTCCCCCTTTTTCAGTCTTCTCCCTACTGCTAACACATACTCATTGTCTCAATGGTAGGAATACAGGTAAGGTCTGTCAAAGCCAGACTACAGCTGGATGTTTTAGCCTCCATTAATGTTAGCCACAGACTGAGATGTAAAGGTGTGTTGGATAGCACGTGCTAACAAACACAGATCTATCCAGGCTACCTCCCAGCTGAGCAAGGGCACAAACACTACTGAGTCCTGACCCAGGGCAGGTGAAGCCACAGGCATTCATCAGAGCTTTCTCTGAATCACCCACACCTCTGCACTGAGGCTGTCCAGCTCTACTTGGCTCAACTACCTCCAGGCAGAGCATCCAACCGGCAGAGACCAAGTCATAACTGGGAGGGATGTAGTGCTCTGGCACTCGTCTGCACTCTGCACCTCTGAAAACACCACTGTTGCACATATCCAAGGGACAGCTGTGTGGGGCAGAGCAGAAGGCTCCCAGAGGCAGGAGCAACAAACCTTTTGCAGAGTTGTGATGATATATGCCAGGAAAACACAGGAGGTTTCTCACCAAAAAGAAGAATTGAGGAAAACCTTTTCCAAGCATAAGTCTTTCCTTTGTCCACTGCCATAAAGGCTCAGCTTCTCATTGTGACCCACCTCCCAAATCCTTCAGAGATTTCTCCAAGTGAAGAACTGACTCACTTGAGCTCAGGGTAGACATTCTCCAGATACCACTGGAAGGATTTACAGTTCAGTTTGCGTCGCTGCTCCATTCGGTCTGCAACACTGGAAACACAGGCAGTTGTTGAGGATAAGGAAGTGAACAGGAGGGAGGGGAACAATGAAGATTGGCCAGGAGGTTTGAGGGAGATTATATGACTTTTTGCCATTACTCATTCTCCCAAGAAGCTGTTGCTGGGTTCAGAGCACTAGCAGTGACCTGAGGTGAAAAGGAGAGAGGCAAGTGGCAGGAAATAAAAATAGAAGAAAGCTGTTCTTGCAGAAAGCTTCTTCTTCCTTTAGCTCAGAGTGATAGCAGGGCCCAGGTCCTACCTTGTTAAATAATACATTGCAGTAAAACTACTGTAGGATCAGGAAAGCACTTCTGCCTCTGGGTGCCCCTGTAGAGGCATACCATGAAAATTGCACAACCATCAGCTGCTGAAAAGGCCTAGAAAGTGTTTGTGCTCAGGTATGCACATATGATTAATCTGTGTGTGCTAAAGAGTGTCTCTAGCTCATGGCAGCAGCTCTAGGCTCAGGCTGGGTTTCAGACCTGGAGAATTTAGTTATTTGTTCTTAAGCTGTTTGGGGAAAGGGGAATAGTATAAGGGGAGACTAACTCAACATCTCAGTAACTGTCTGCTGCACCAGTCCTCGCATTGCTGATTTGCTTGGCTTTAGCTGCCTGAACAAGAGGATTTCCCTCAAGCAGTCACTCTCAAGTGGGGTTCTGCAGGGCTCCATCTTAGGCCCTGTGCTCTTCAACATCTTCATAAATGACTTGGACGCAGGACTGGAGTGGATACTGAGCAAGTTTGCAGATGACACAAAATTCAGAGGAGCTGTTGACTTCCTCAAAGGCAGGGAGGCCCTGCAGAGAGACCTTGACAAATTAGAGAACTGGGTAATCACCAGCCATATGAAGTTCAATGAGGGAAAGTGCTGGATACTGCACCTGGGATGGGGCAACCCCGCATGTTCCTACAGACTGGGGAATGAGATGCTGGAAAGCAGTGCCACAGAAAGGGACCTGGGGGCCCTGGTCGATGGCAAGTTGAATATGAGTCAGCAGTGCTCTGGCAGCCAGGAGGGCCAACCCTGTCCTGGGGGGCATCAGGCAAAGCATCGCCAGCCGGTCAAGGGCAGGGATTGTCCCGCTCTGCTCTGCACTGGGGCAGCCTCACCTTGAATATTGTGTGCAGTTTTGGGCACCACAATGTAAGAAAGATATTAAGCTGTTACAGAGAGTCCAAAGGAGGGCAACAAAGATGGTGAAGGGCCTTGAGGGGAAGCCATATGAGGAGTGGCTGAGGTCACTTGGTCTGTTCAGCCTGGAGAAGAGGAGACTGAGGGGAGATCTCTTTGAAGTCTACAACTCCTTGTGAGGGGAAGAGGAGGGACAGGATCTCTTCTCTGTGGTGACCAGTGACAGGATCTGAGGGAATGGCCTGAAGTTGTGACAGGGGAGGTTTAGGTTGGATATTAGAAAAAGGTTCTTCACCCAGAGGGCGGCTGGGCACTGGAACAGGCTCCCCAGGGAAGTGGTCACAGCACCAAGGCTGACAGAGTTCAAGAAGCATTCAGGTGATACCCTCAGGCACATGGTGTGACTCTTGGATATGCTCCTGTGCAGGGCCAAGAGTTGGACTCAGTGATCCTTGTGTGTCCCTTCCAACTCAGCATATTCTGTGATTCTGTGAGCAGTGAAACTAGGAGCTCTTGTCTTCAAGCTGTAACACTACATTTGTGTGTTGGAACAAATTTCAACTGTACTTATGTACCTTGCCATCCTCAGCCCCCAGAGGCCACTGTACATATACATGAGGCCACACACCTCAGGAAAATGTACTTAGATTTTATATCTACCAAAATTGTGGGGAAGGAGGGTCCATTATAGGCCCCATTGTCAGTGATGGTGTCAAATGCATTTGCATTCTAAAATCTAGATGCAATGGTTCTAGATTAAAGTTCACAGGATTGTTACTACAGGTCAAGAAATTGCCTGAAATCAAAGCCTTACGCTTTGCTCCAGCTCTTATTCAGCCAATGCTACCAGCAAAGTCACTAGGAAGCCTGTGTGAACAAGAGCTGCAGGTTTGGCCCCTAAAACACATGAGCAATATATCCATGTACAAAATGCAATAATTCGATTTCCCTCACAAGCAGCAGGGTTACTTGCTATTTGGCCCCAGTCCAGCTGCTGCAGTCAGCTCAAGGACAGATAAATTAGGCAGGCAAAGCTATTTGTACCAAGATATGTAATGCATCATGATAATAAAGCACAATGTACAGCAAAAAAAGTGACCTGCTTGTCATCAAATAAGAAGGACATGCATCATTACCCAGTGCACATAGCTACACATTTGAGATACAACCACATTTGCCAAGTCCTTACACTGATACAATAGCCATTTGTTCACAGGGCAGATACAACCCACAGATATACAGCACTCCTGGGATTTTTACATTTATTTGGGAGTCAAAGGGGTTTGATAGCACAGAGAGCAAGCTCTCCTCTCAGCCCAGGTTTTGGTGTCCATCACTGATTTCTGGGTCACAGAGAACAGTTAAGCCTGTAACAATGAATCCCATGTGGCCTGAAGACAGCTTTAGCAAAGGTGCTGTAAGGAGCACAGTTCTGCAGAGATTGTGTTTCTGAATGACACGTCTCACCACTGGCCATGTTCTCTCCTGCCCCACAAACCAGGCAAACTACCCATTCACTCATCAGGAAAGGGGAGTGTACCAAGTGCAACCTGCCCCATGTGCCAGCCAGCTGTGCTTGCCCTGAGATTCTATCCGCACAGGAACTTCAGATCAAGCTCTAGTAACTGCATAGCTTGCATTTCTAGAACAGCTGCATGTTGTGTTAAAAAAAACATTCCTATCAATCCACTTAAAATGTTTGGTCTTTTAATTTCATTACAGATCCCTCTGGCCTTCTGCTAACAGATGATTTATGCAAAGTTAGTGGGGGAAAAATAAAGGGAATTAGAAGCAAACCTCATTAGCCAGACACTCAAGCTACAACCTCCCTGGCAAGCTAGCCTTTTAGAGCATCTCTTTTTCTCACACTTAGCCCCAGAAATGATCTAAAAACTATTCGTTGCTACCAAGGGTTTTACCAGAGCCCTCCTACCAAGGTCTGGGGGCAGCTTACCTTCCAAACGACTTCCCAATAGCAGATGGCCGGGCCTCATAGTAGTACTGCTTGTATTCATCCATCCACACTTCTGCTGTGCGCTTGGTGTTCCTGCAGGGGGATGAGGAGATGATTTGCTGAGTGCTGTTGGAGAACCTGTCCTCCCAGTGAGCAGGTACTGACTGGGTGGGCAGAACTACGGCCTGTCTGCCAGGAGGGAGTGGGGGATGGTCCCAAATATGAAACACAGTGGGCAGTACAAATGGATAGAGATTGAATGTGTTAAGTCTACAAAGCCTTGCAGGAAAACTTCTGTTTGGAAGTTAAAATTTTAATAGCCATAGTTTACCATGACTTTTTCACACATATCCCTCTGCAGAGACACCTGGCCTGACTGTCACCATCCCACTCATTTACAGTATTCCTTTCCCCAGATTAGAATAACACTATGGGATAATTCAGCTTGGAATGCACTTCTAACATCTAACATTCTGCCCAAAGCAGACTGGCTTTGTATTAGGTCATGTTGTTCAGCGTCTTGACTGGTTGAGTTTTGAAATCTCCAAGGATGGAGATTTCACTGCCTTTCTGGGGCCCTGATGCAATGCTTAACCACTCTCATTGTCAAACACTTTGTCTCAGCTCTCTTCCCTTTCCATCTGTCCTGCAGTAGAAGTTGTCCTCAGGGCTTATCTCAGAGCACATACAGCTCAGAGACAACAGAGATAACTAAGGACTGCCAATACACAGGCACAAGTCACAAGGCAGTATCCATGAACAGCCAGAATCTCACTCTGGGGTACTGTTCCCCCCTCCACTGCAGACTGAGGAGGAACAAGACGCACTAATACAAACAGAGAAGGGAACAGGTTTTGTTCACATAAAACAGCAACTCATCCTTCCCTTGAGAACAGATGCTCAGCCACAAGCTGTTCTCTGTTACCAGGCAGAAAGACAACAAAGAATTCAGGCTTATTTAGACATGCCCAACACGAAGGTGATCTGGCTGCTACCAGGAACCACTTGATGTAGTCAACACCTACTTGATGTAAGTCAGTGCATTGCCCTCAGGAAAGTCATAGGGATGGCGCTTCCTGAACACGTGTCCCACTCGACTGCAGGGAACGATCTCCAAGCTGCCACCACACATCCACACTCGGAAAGAGAGCTCTGGAAGAGACCCCAAGAGTCATACAGATGCAGGTAGATCGGCAGCAGTTCCAAAAAGGGCAACTTCCTTGCCCCTCTGCTCTAGATGTATTGCCTGCAACAGCAAAATCAGGAAAAGCAATGCCATGGTGAGAGCGGAGAAACTGTTCTCCCTTTGTTAAAATGGAGGCAACCCTTGTGGCTCAGAGACTTCCCAGCCTTCTCCAGTCCTGCTCCTCTTTAGTTCCCTGAGCATTTCACCTTTGCATCTGACCAGGTCATTGAGGTTTCTGTCAGGCCTTCAGGATGGCATTTGGCAACAGTGAGATCATTGCCACACCCACCTTGTTTTGGACTCTTGTAACATTCCTCCCTGCACATGGATGGAATTAAAAAAAGAAGAATTTACTGTGTAAAGCAAATCATGTGAGGAAGAAAGGGAGTTTAGAAGACAAAGAGAAAGAAGAGAACAAGATGAGGGCATAGAGATTCAATGTCTAGAGCAAAGTCCTCTCCCTCATACCTCTATGTTATCCACCCTACAATGGCTTCTTGTTCTGGTTGGGTCTATTTCTAATTTAACAAGAAAAAAAAGAAAAAAAAAGAAAATAAGTGGATGACTGTGTTACAGTTTGTCAACAGTTGCCTCTGCTGGGGAAGTTGCTCAGAGCAGATGTGAGTCTAATAGTATCACTATAAAAATATGGAGAGAATCCTGCTACTTGAAGAAATCCACCCTATCCTGAAGCTAAATTCAACATTTTGGTAAAGGATTAGAAGAACACGGAGCTTTGATGTTCAGGCACTTATTTGCATCACAGAAGATATGTGACCTTGCTCAAGCTTATGAGTCTGTCCTCGCAAATTTAATCACTGCCACACCAGAGGGGTTTTCCACTTGCATTTCATGTGGTGATGAGAAGAGAAGAAGGAAGAAGGAAAATGAAAATTAGCTGGGTAGTTTGGTAGTCCTTACCAAAAGGGCTTCCGATTGTATGGACTAATTACTTCAAAAATTGTACGCAGTTGGGATCTCCCTCCAGTAATGCCTGAAGTATGCGGCTCTGATGTTAGGAAATTAAAAAGAAATTATGCATCCAGATCTAATGGATGTTTGAAAGCATGTATACACGCTAACATCTTCCCAACCTTCATCTTTGTCCATTGCTTTCCTCTCTGCACACTGAGAGAGGTTGTTAAACAGTAAGTTGCAGGGTGGGGGAAGGTGATGTATTTAATCTAGCTTCTAAGTAAAAAACCACATTTTATTATACTGTATTTTGTGGCATTTCTTACTATCTCGTCTCTCCTTGTCTCTTTTCCAGAGCTTATTATTTTCAGTTTCTTTTCAACAGGGAGTTCCAGATTTGAATAGAGGAAGCATTTTAAAACAAAGAAAAAAAAAAGCCCAAGACATAAGTTTATGTCTGGTGGTGTGTCCAGTTGGCATTTGCTCTCCTGGAATGAGGTTCTGACTTGCTCTGGCCTACAACAAAAATATAACTCTCAGTCTAGCATGTGTAACTTAAAGTCTTGTCCATTTCCCAAGAGAGGATTTCTCATGCCATCTTAGACACACAGACAGACTGCATGTCCAGGTTTGCAAATGATAGAACTCTTTAAAGAAGAGGCAAAAGAATGCAGATTTTGGACACATCAGAGAAAATGAAGACCAAACATAACTTATTAAGGACTTTCATCCATCCTCTGATGGAAAATAGAACTTTTTGCTGTATATTTTTCAGGACGTGACTTAGTCTGTATGTGTTTTAAATTACTTAATCACTGTGTCTTTTCCCCATCACAGTAAAAAAAAGGGGATTTACCAGCTCACATCCAGCTGGAAGGATATTTATGCAGCTGGTAATTGCTGCCTGATCATTTCTGTGTACCTGCTGTGTGTGCAGAGCTCATCCAGCTCTGTGCCCTTCCCATACACTCATCCTGTTTCCTCACACAAAAAAGGTTTCAAAGTAGTTTATTAAAAATAGCCTTTGTGAGCAGATAATGGCCCATCCCACCCACCCAAATTAGTCAGAACCCCTCTTCCACCTCATCCAAAATGATTACCTAATCCAAACAGTTTATTTCCACTCAAAACTGTAATTTTAAGTAAAAATAGTGTTTCAGAATATTATTAATAGTTTTCCTTAATCAGAAAACCCAGTTTTCAATTAAGTATGGTAAACATTTTTTTTATAGAGGCTAAATTAACCATTCTGAATTATTCAGGGAAAATTAATATTTCTTGTTGTCAAATACAGGTTGGTTTCTACCCCTCTGCATTCAACAGCAACAGGTTCAACAGAGGATAAGAGACAAGTGGTGGGAGACACAGAATTTACAGGAAAACCACGTAACAAGGCAAAGCTGGCAAGCCCTGTACATGTTGCTGAGTCTCACACAGCCTGGCCCAGCCACTGCCAGGCTTTACAAGAGCAATTTCAAGGAGAATGAAGCAATTCTGTGGAGGTTTTGAACAGCTCTACCTGCAAGAATGGCTGTGAGTGTGCACATAATTTACTGCTACTTATGGCAGAGAGCTCTGCTTATTATCATACTACTGACATACAGACCAAACAACAGCACTGGGCTCCCAGGTGGGCAGAAGCAGACAAATAAAAACCTAAAGAAATATTCTTTCTCCCTCCTTGGGGCTTACACCTTTTACAGAGTTGCAGCTCAGAGGTTGGCAGAATGTCCAAGTAGCTGGCTCTGCAGCTGGAGCAGGGCTAGTGACAGCAAGAAGCTGAGTCTGGCTGTGCAGAGGAGTCTAAGGGACAAAGGAGAGGGGATCTTCATGCCTGGGTAAAGGCTTCCTGGCACAGTGCTTAGCTGATGCTACTAGCACTACTGAGATTCCAATGCCAGCCCCATTTAATATCTCTTTTTAATATAATGAATATCATAAAACTGAAGCAAGACCTGAGAAAACAGAGGACACAAGCACTTATTATTAGATATTTTGTTTTTAAAATGTAGTACTTTGATATTCTACTATCAGCCCAAAATATTATTTCCTGGTTTCAGAAAGCATTTCAGAAACAAGCAGTTCTCCCAGCTGTGTTCAGAGAAACAAAAGTTTCCTCTTCCTGACTAGTTTGTTCTTCCTAGTTGGTTCTCCAGGTGCTAGAAAACACCATACAAATTCTTCCTTAAAGGGTTTTATTTACAAATCTGTGACATTTATGCAAGCTGTAGAAATAGAATTTTCTTTAGCAGTGTTAGCTACAGAAAAATCTACTTAAGTTAGTGCAAGACAGCATAAGGCTTTTATCTCTTCAGCTCCACCTGCACCATTTCTAAATGAATGCCCCAAATACTTGAGGTCTCCATGAACCTCTCTTTGCATCTTCTTGCGTTTGTCACTAACATCTGGTGACATTGCAGCACCCCTTCACACAGATCAAAGAGAGATGCCTGGAATATCTCTGCCACCATTAAGTGCAAGGACACGAGTTTAAGCACCATGCCTTATAACAGCACTTCAGTGGACAGACTACACTGGGCCTCTGAATGCCTTACATGTTTGTGATGCCCTAGTCTGCTTCTAAATGTTTGCATTCTGAATCTATTTGTAATCAAATTTAGTTTACAAAGACATTTATTTTATTAGGAAAAATATCTTTCTGACCTGTCAAGCTGGGAGACCAACTCAGACTTATCTGCGAGAGAGGAACAGATATAAGAGACTGTAGGAGTGGCTGTCCAGAGCTGGAGCAACACAGACTGTCATGTGAAGAACTGGAGGAATATCCTCCAAAAAGAAGCAACCATTTAAATTTCAGGAGGTTCCTCCTTCTTTCTTGTACTGTGGAAGCACCTGCATAATAGCACATATGCCTGTAAGAGAGTGTAGCCCTGATTGCAGAATGTCTCCACTTTATGCTGACAGTAATAATAGCTCCGACCATCATGGGGATTACCTGGCCATGTCCCTAACCTTACACTGACATGCAGATCAGATCTCTCAGAAAAAGAATTCTGGTAAGTGATGAAGACTGGGAAGAGGTTCTGCATTAGTATGCCATTCCCCTGAATGACAATTCCCTACACTTACCAAAATTTTCTCCTCCCCAGATGTCCATTTGAGTATCATATTTTCCCAAGTGGTTAAACCAGGACTTGTCAATCACAAAGATGCCTCCTGCTATAACAGGGGTTCTGGAAGAGAACACAGAAGCCCACAAAATAATCACAAGTATATGTAGCACCACAAGCTTAATTTTAGAGGGCAGACAATTAATCCAGCCCTGACACATTTTACCTCATTTAAAAGAGAAAAAGAGTAGAGTTTGGAAGTGAACTTGCAGCAGGTTTCTGAGATCCCCCTCACTAGATCATTCTCCTGCCTTTGTTAGATGGTCCTGCAAGCACTACAGGAGCAATGCTGTGTCTTTTGCATTTATACAAATATTCACAGTATGAAGGAATGACAGGGCACTGTCTGATGACTGTGTTCACCAATTAGACACAGTGTGACAGGCTGTTGTGTTTATTGCTCTGCTGTTACCAAGCTGGTTGCCTCTGGCGTGCAAAACAGAGGCTCACAAATCCCACAGAGGAGTTAAATGATACTTTTATATTAAAAATAGGGAGCTTTCTGCCTACACAGACAAGCACCATGACTTTTCATATCAGGATTTGTTACATTCTGCATGTTTCAGAGCCATGTACACTCCAGTGAGGCTGGCAACAACTGTCTCATCTGTCCGTCAACATGCAGATTTAGGAGGCGAGAGTAATTCTGTGCCCACATTATTAAGTAAGATTCAGTTCTCCAATCTGCTTTACACCTGCTGGATGACTGTTTATGTGCTTCATTCCTTAAGTTTTCACCCGAAAGGTAGAGGTAATTAAAAAACCCCAAAGGGATTTCTGAGGCATTCAGTGTGTTAAGTGAGGGAGACCACAAGAACAAACACATAGAAGAAGAGGTGGCTTGTAGAGGTGGCATGCATGATAGTATATAATTCCTGTTCTTACAATATTCAGGGAGTTAGGGTATAGACCTCGATGCATCCAAAAAATAACATGAAGAGTTTGTCATCATCAAGTGAACTCTCTGGCATTTTGTCCTCAGCAAGGCAGTCTCTGTACCCTCCTTGCCATACAGGTGAAGGCTTGGTAAAGGCATTTGGAGGACTGTACTCTGTCCATCAGAGACAGTTACCTTATAGACTGAGTTGGGTCTGTTCTGGACATTTTCTGCTCTATAGGAATCTGCTCCCACTTAAAGTGAAGGCTCCAGTCAAATCCTGAGAAGGAAAAAGACACATCAAATTGGTTTTGTTATTGTAAAAACAGTACTACTAGCTTCAGTGATAGTCTCTACCTTTACATCACAGGCAATCACTTTGTTCCTTCCCTGACCACCCTCACAGTCTACCCAAAATGGTAATAGTCTATCCTAATATAGATGTCACCAGCTTCTGTCTTCGCACCGTCACCCCTTGGTATTACAGACCCCTCCTCAATTTCATTCCACATCTTCAGGAGAGTGTTGTCAGCGTGAAACATAACTGTATTTCAGCCAGTCTTACACTTCTCTGTCTGCCAAAGTTATGAGGTTTAATAAAGTGGGATGTGATGTATTCTGGGAACAAAGGCCTGAAGATCATTGTAAATATCACCTCTTTCAAGGTTACTTATACTTGGCCTGTGTGGGTAGTTGAGCACAGCACAGTCACTAACTTTATATCATTGTTGAGGGTAGCCAGAGAAGAGGTAGCCCTTGGCTGCAAGCAGGGCAGAAGTGAACCCCAGCCACAGAATAGGTGGAAGAGCACCAGGCACTGAGGTGACTACAGGAACAGCTGCAGGGGGTTCAGCTGCAGGGCAGAGGTGAAAACGCCTTGAAGAAGATGCCATGAGATAGTCTGGCAGATCAAAGCAGCAAAAGGAAGTGCCTGTCAAGACTCCAGTGTACATGTAGCATAGGGACAGCATGGTGAGACATCTAATCAATTAACTAAGTCCTGAAATTGCAAAATGTTATGACAGTGATGCAAGCTCAAGAGGAAAACACTAATTTTGTTCTAACTCTGCAAAAGACTGTTGCAGAGAAAAAGTTGCAGAGAAAAAAGGACAGAGAACCCATCAGGAAAGATCATCACTCTGTTTTCTTGGAAAGCTGAAGAGAACGTAACTTATTTTTTATGCACCATCCCTCAGGCCTAACTTACATAAGCCATTCATTATACCCACCTCCCCTCAAATCTGCTGATGCTGCCAGGTAGGCAAAATTATCCAGGCTGATAACATCAATGATTGGACTCACCACTCGGGTATAATCCTGAGGGAGAGAGAGAAAGGGGAAAAAAAAGGAATCAGGCTTTTCTTGAATGTCTGGCAAAGCTGCCAGAGATCAGAAAACACAAAATTTGCCACACAAAGCTGCACATGTAAATCTTTGTCTGGTTTCTCCAGTACGGTTCTGGTAGCTGCACAAGGGAACTGTGGCCACAACATCCAAACGTGGAGACAGGGGGTAGTAGCCAGTTGCACTCCATGGATGTAGGAAATGGAGTCAGACCCCAACACCCAGGAGTGCTGCTAAGAAACAGCTATTTACTTCCTGCCCAAGTCACAGGACTTGAATCACAGTTGCAAAAGTTTTGTGCTTGCTTTTGATATCTACTGACAGCATACTTTCTGTTAAGCTGTCCTTGAATTAACTCATTATCATCAGTTTAGAAATTATCAAACCCCTAATAAAGTATCTTCATAAGAAATACTATGAATCAAGACCCTACACTTAAAAATCATATTGCAAACATTATAATACATATAATACATTATATAAATTACAATATTAAGATATTGTGAGTACTTTATCGCCATTGAGGGGTATAGATATTTACAGTTTTCCTTTGCAATCCTTTCAGTAAGTAGAAGTTGCATAGTTTTTCAACATCATAGCACAGGGCATTAAAGACAGTCTTGTGACAGCTGACACATAAGATGAAACCGAGCTACTCATGCCACAAAACAGCACCTTGTTATCGAACAGCTGCCAACATCCATGCCTTTCCTATCAAACCTTCATTTGGTGCCTTGCAGTAGTTTCTCCTGATGTTGCACACTAGTTCATGATGGGGCATCCTAGGTGAGAGTTATCATTCATGCTTATTCCTCTCTGCGCTGTGATGGTTGCCCAGTGAGAGTGTGTTTGCCCAGCCTGAACCCCTCAGCATCCACCCGGCAGCCTGGTGCACCAGCCTCTAATCCACCAGTCAATGCCAGGACTGGGTAGGGAAAGACTGAAATCCAAACTAGGGTGCATATCAGAAATGTAGGAAGTATGTCAGAAATAGGCTGACTTGAAATCTGCTCACTAAAAAATTAGTATATTAGAGTCAGCACCCAAGATTTTGGAATTTAGATCCTTCACTGAAGAAACTAGTGAGGTTCTTTCTGCTTAGGGACCCCTATGCTGCTGCTGCTGCAGCTTAACTTAAAGACCAATAGTAAAGTAAACATTTACGGGCTTCAGAGATAGAGAATTTATTGAACAGGAATAAAAAGCAGAAGCTTTTTTAGTTATCAATCCTGAAGTTTCACCTTCCTGTCCTCCTTCATATTAGGCCAATCAGACATGGACAAAAAGCACCATTAAAGCCTCCATTCCTTCTCCTGGGGCCCATTACTCCATGGTATCCGCTTTTCAGAGGGGATCAATTACAGGCACTTGCAAGCATGGCTTGACTTTTCCCATCACGTCTCCCCTGCCTTCTCTTATAGCAGAGCTCTATGTCTCTCCTTCCAGCTCTCCAGGGCAGTCAGGGTGACAGCTGCTAATATTTCCGCCTCATTTTCACTCTTCCAGCCTCACATCTGTCTCTTGCCGAGTGAACCATCAAAGGGACATCCCTGCACTCACAGGCAGGTCCTCTGTGCTAGGAAGCTGCTGCATGCACGTTGTGTATGTTGGCGGCTCAGTAGGAACATTAATGGAAGGAAAATTGTGGCAGTGACAAGGCAGAGGGGAGGGTTCAGCAGCAAGAAGGGAGGTGGAAACCATGGAAAAGTTGCAGAGTGTATGCTGTCAAAGTGGGTGTCCTATGTACAGGTGAACAGGACTAGGGAGCACAATGCCTGCAGGACACATGAGATACAAGTTGATGGTTCCAGAGTTCACCATTGCATCCCATCACTCTGCACCTCCTGCCTTGTCACACTATCAGAATGTAGAAACCCATTAGGGATCTCTTGCCATCTAGCTCAGGCTGTACTTTCCTCTGTAACAGCCTGTCCGCCTTGGCAGGCTTTGTCCTCACCAGCACTGCTGATGGCATGTGAGGGCAGAGGATCCACTAGCACAAGTCAGGCAAGCTCCATCCATCCCAGAGGGGGACATGGTGCTCACCTCTTTCACTCTCTGAAGCATTGGCTGCAGCCACTCACTGTTGACTTCACAGTGACTGTCCAAGAAGGTAAGAATGTCAGCAGTAGCCACTTCAGCTCCTCGCACCCGAGAGCGAATCAGCCCTACAGTGAGGAAAGGACAGCAAAGGAGCAGGATGGTTAGAAACGGAAATAGTTGAGCCTCCTTCAGAATAAATACTTTGTGTGGCCATTACAAGGGAAGAGCAGGTGAATCTCCTATATCACATCTCCATCAGGAACAGAGAGCAGTTTTAGTAGGGCATCCCCTGGGGACAGTCAGCTGTCCCAGCACACCAAGAATGACTTCTCCTATCACTTCTCTCCATGACACAGAACTTTCATCTGGCTCCTTCTCTTCCAGCTGTCCCTACAGATACCTTGCTGCTGCCTGCTTGCTGTCTCTTCCATTGAGCACCCTGCTTCCCTCTCTTACCAATTCCCCATGACCAAATTCTACTCTCTCTTTCTCCTTTCTTACTGCTTATCTGCTTTATTCCCATCTGTCCTTTATTCTACCCTGCAGTCAGAGATATCAGCCTGGCTCTCAGATGTCTCCTTACTTCCTTACAGACCATCCCACTAAGTGGGAACACTCTTTGTGAACTAAACAGTGGTTCCCGTCTCTCCTTCTAGATCCTCACTCCAGGCCTGCTGTTCGCTGACAGCTTTAGAAATAAACCAGCACATGTGAGTCAAACTAAAGGGCAGCTGGGAAAGTCAGAGTTACCATTTATGCATGAAGGAGATATATGAGAAAAAGCTTTCCTTAATTGTACCTCCTTATAATAGTTGTTTTGTTAGTTGATGATTGTTTTTCCTTCTCCCACATCTCCTACATGGCTTGTTATCTTGCACTCTGAGTTTAAAAGGACAGGACTTACACCTACGTCTTTATTCCTAAAGATCTTAAAATGTGGTCTTTGTTCTAGCCAGGGCCTCTGGACTCCACTTCTCATTATTTAAAGTGTGAAATGAGAGCCCTGAAGCCTGAGAGTTGATAAGCCACATTCTCCCTCCACAGAGCCTCCAAACTAGAATACCAAAACAAACTGCAACTATAAGAAATAACATGTAAGCAGCTGGCAGGCAAACAGAGTCATGTGGGAAAATACGCAAAATCTTTGTATATACAAAGCTTTCCACACTCACCTTCTCGACGTGTGTTTCGTAGACACTTGACCTTTGGGATCTTGGTAAGGAGCTGGCAGTCCTCAGCTTAGGGAAGGCAAAAAAACACATTTGGCACACATGCATGAATTATTTGCCTTCAACAGAGAGCCCCAATTAGCTGTTCTCCTGCTTCTCCATGGGAGGGGAAATTCTACTTTCATTTAGCATCACATTAATCAGCCTGATGGCCTTAATCCTGTTGTCTAAAGAGTACATAGAAGAGCACTGCCTGCTTGCTGTCCTACTCAGACAGCTGAGCTTATGTTTCCCAATCCTCTGAGCAGCCAGGCCTCCAAGAACAATGAGCATGTGCTGGCAGTGTGGCACTGGGTACCGATGAAATGGAGGGAACACAGGGAGCCGGGGATGTAAATGACCAGAGTGACAAGGATAAGAGAGTTCTGTCATATAAAGTGATCTTATCCTCTCTCTTCACCTTCAGCGGCTCATCTGGGCATTTCCCACCATTTGTTCTCGGGCACTTTCTGCTTGATTTTGTTTAATAAAGACCAAAGGGATGTGACCCATTTCCTTGGAGACACTACTACATTAACACATAGATGCCTGACTGAGGGCTCTGCTGGCAGTTTGCCAGAAGCTCTTGGCATCTCTTATTTACATTGGCCAGGGAAGATGACAGAGAGGAACCTGCTCCAGCCCAGCTGTACCTATGAGCACTGAGTTGTTAGTTCTCTGCCATCTGCTCTCTATTCCTGCCCTAGTAGAGATCATAGCAATTTCTTACTTGCTCTTTTTTCTTGCTCCAAGTTCACTCCAGTTTCCACATTTATTCCATTCCTTTTCATGTCTCGTGCCCCCCTTTCCCGCTGTCATCCTCCCACAGACTGAGCACTCTGGGGAGAATGCAAGGCCCTTAGCCAAAGTGCATCTCTTAGCATGTTCCCGTACAAGCATTTCCATTCTCAAGGATACATGCAATCTGAAATTCTGCTCTTATGTGGGCACTTTGGCAGCTGCTGCACTATCCAAGGGAAGTGGCAGATGCTCTGAATTACAGAGTATCATGATTTTGCTGGACCTCTGCTACAAGGGAAGGCAATGATCTCATCTTGGCCAAGTCACAACTTCAGGTATGAGAATCCTTATTAACTCGTTCACTCTACAGGAGCGGAGCATATCACTCTGCCTGTAGCTACTTGCAAGAGAAGACAGACTCTTAGTATCTTTGGAGAAACTGAGGTGGGTATTAAAGCAAAGCATCAGACCTCAAACATGCGCTAAAGTACCTCCATGGAGGTGTCTCGGGGGAGTGGCTATATCCGTAAATATCCAGTTGCCAGTGAAAAAATGAGAGCTGTCATAGGATGAAGCTTTGTTAAAATCTTTCTATTTAGCTAGGAGCCTAAACGCAATTTTTTGGATGAGCCCTGTGCAGAATGGGTACCAGAAATATATCAGTTTTGATCTGGTACACTTTGCCCATTGAGAACTGAATTTCTAGGTGCTGAGTGTAGGACACTTAGGATTGTTTGTTGGAAGTACTCAGAAACACCGAGCTTCTACAGCTGGGCACAGCTCAGTACTTATTCAAATCACACTGTAAGGCCCTCAGAAACTTAAATCCCTCATCTCAGCATCCACCTTTAAAAATGGGGTTTTTTGGCCAAAGCTATGTAAAGTATTTAGCTGCAAAGTCAAAAGAGCATTGCTTCCTTACCTCAGCAGGCCAAGGGGGGCATTCGCAGCTATCTGTAAAGTGTTCTGAAGGAGTAATTATCAATTATTATAAATGGTACATAACTAGATTGTCCTTGAATCTAGTACACATCATGGGAGAAGCAAGAAGGCTTCTATCCCCACCACCTCACCACTACTACACAACAGCCAGGAGCAAGAGCAACTGTACAGATGGAAAGAGTCCACAGCCTCCAGTCTGCAGATCTGGTGGAACTCATGCAGTAGACACTCCATCCCTATGCCAAGTTGCAGAAGAAGGTATGGCGCTGCCCAAAGCACTAACCTTTCCACAGCTTCCCACAGGGACACCTGAGATCCTAAACATATGAAGGCAGGCAGGCAGTCTTGCCCTGGTCTGCCTGCAGGACCCCAGGCAGCAATTTTCTGTAGGTTCCACTGCATCCTCTTGTTCTCTCCTGGTCTGTAATTACCCACTCTGCACATGTACAGCATTGCTGCATATATATCTGTGCTAATCAGCTCACCAAATGGTGCATAATGAAACTAGACAGAGATCTCTGGCAACCTAGGCCAAACTGCCAAGCTGACAAAAAAGGAAGACCAAATGTAAAGAAAAAGAGAGGAAGACGCTCTGGCCTCTGCCATGCATGGACCTTAAACACAGAAAAACTTCCTTTCTTTTCTTTTTCTCTTGCATACAGAAAGAGATCTGTGAGAGAGGGGAAGGAGCTCAGGGAGGATGAAAACCTCTCGCAGAGCAGAAGGGAAAAAGCTCGCTTGATTTTGATTTTCAGTACAAATACAAAAACAAAAAGCAGGAAAACAGAAGGGAAGAAATCAGTGCAAATCCATACTTACAATCTGAGCTGAAGTCATCTACCAAAATGATCTCCTGGATGAGACTGGGAGGGGTGCGGTTCAGAACACTGCAAGAACCCAGGGAGGAAAAAACCACACTTTGTGAGCTGTCATAATAACAACAATGTTAAGACTGATAAAAATCTGCTATGCTACGCATTACAACAGGAATACCAAACTCCAGTAAAGTGGAAGTGGTGACCTTGCCCTAGCAGGATTCATTGATAGGAACCAAACTCCAAGCAGGAGTACTGCGGAGAGCTGTGGCATCTCAGTGGGACCTTACAAGGACCCACAGACAGGAAGCTGACTGGGGACTTGCCAGCTAGCAAAGGATGCTGCTGCATGCTCTCTGACTCCTAACAGAGAGGAGAAATGCAGAGCCTGATGGCCATTCCCATTTGCCAGGCTTTGGGCAAAGTTCACCATTGCTGGAGAGCGAAAAGAGCGGCCACTTTCCCCTGTAAGGAGCTCTATCTCAATGCCACAGATGAGCCCTGCTCAAGCTTTCTCACCAATTCCCTTCTTTGGAAGGGAATATTGTCAATACTGCCTTGGCAATATTCTGGATTTCGATTTGTTTTTTCCTCCTTTGCTTGTTACTTCTTTCAAACCAGCCCCACACTTGCTGAAAGCATCCTCTTTCCTAGGGTGATTGCACCACACCCTGCAATACCCTCAGGACTGCAGTGAGTTTGCATCTGCAGGATACAGGAGCTTTCACACAGGGTGAGATAGAAGCTTCTGCCCTCCTAAGAGGTCGAAGAACTCTGGTACCCTGGAGTCTGAGCAGTTTGGTTCTGACCTCTTAATCGCTCTCATTTCTTTAAAATGCTTGAACTCATTTTCCATGAACTTTAACTCTCTCCCCTGGCTTTACTACCACCACTCAGCGCATTCCCCCTTCAAGCCTCCTCCAATGCCTCTATGAACAGGCAGGTCCTCATTAACTTCAACAAGATTGCTCAGTAATGCTTAGGCACCCTAGTGTAGAGGACAGTTATGCAAATTTTAGTCTTAAAAACAGAGGTAAACACTATTCTCCTAGTTCTAGCAACCTGTCTCATTTCAGTGACATCTGCTCTTCTATTTTGAGCAATTCTGCAGAAAGATTGCTGACTTTTTTTCTCTTTTGTGGGCTTTTTTGTTTTATAGAGGAAACAGATAGCAAAACTAATCCCATACTCTCAGGTATGAAGAAGTAGAGAAACAAATTATCATCTTGCTAAGTAACATCACTAATGCCTTTGCATACAGAGCCAAAGTTTCTTCAGTTTGTGAGTTTTCTGCTGTCTCTCACAGCAAAATTCTGACTGTTCTGCTGCTTAGTATCACATCCCACTCTATTTCAGATTTATGCTGCTTTATATGCCTCTGATAGTATTTGTATTTTGAGCTTACATGTCCCTAGATGACTGAGCTTGCATTTTTTAAAGCTGAATCTCATTTGCTTCACTTGGCACATAACTCTCTGAATCCTCTCATATGGTGGGGTGGGAGGTGGAGGGGATGTTCCTCTTTGCCATTTTAAGTGCAGATTCTCCCAGCACAGCCATCATCTGCATATTTTATAGACAAGGTTGCCCTGCACTGAAATTCTTGTTTGTGCAAACCCAATGCAAAACAATCCAGACAGACTGCATCCTGCAGTATAATGGCTGTAAACCAGTATTGTACATATTCTCCCACTAGCCTGGCTATTGGCAATGCTCACATTTTCTTCAAAAGTTTCAGGTCTTTCAACTCAACACATCTGGGGAAAAAAACCCAAACATTTTGTTCTCTCTTTCTTGCCTGTCCACTGATTCCCCAGTAGAGAGAACACACTCCTTGAGGAGTTCACAGCTCATTGTACAATGTCCAGTTCTTCTCTCTACAATAATTTGCTGTGGATCCTTGGGAAAGGTAATTAATCTTCTTTGCACTTTATTTTGCTTGTCTTTTTAGCAAGGAACACAATAATCCTAGTATTCCTCTTCAGTGAGGTGCAGAGACTGGCATGACAATCAATTACGTCTAGGCACAAAAATGCATTATTAGGATTCCAAAATTCAAATGACAATTGCTTTTTACAGCAGAAACACCAACTGTTCTCCCTTCATCTCACGGATTCCCTTCTTACTTTTTTTTTTCTCACAGCTTCCTTCTTCTTTCTATATCAGTGTCCTTACTCTCTTGCATGACATGACATCACATCAGCATTGCCAATGACTTTCTCTCCTCTGCTGATCTGTCCATCCCCCATCAGCTCACAGATAATCCTGTTTATTCCAGATGGTAGCAGAAGAGCATCTTTTTTCCCTTTGCTCTAAAATAATCTCTTTTGCCATCATCCTAATTGTCATTGTAATGAGATGCTACAACAAGCGCTCTAGTATTGCAGTATCATCCTTTTAATCAGAATTTTTACAGGCTGTCTGCATAGGCACTGAACCACTGACAGCTGTTCGAGTCCATTGACTTAGAGTCTGACCATTCACCTTTACATTTGCACCAAAATCAAACAGTCCCTGCAATAGTGACTGAAATCAGAAAAGAAAGGGACCGGATAACAAAGCAGTTGACTTTCCCTTCTGTGGGAATGGTCACTGCAGCCGAGTTGATGGTATCACTTAATGACTAATCACACACAGACATCAATCACAGAAAATGAGAAAGAGAACAGGATGCCAAGCAAGTAACTGGTTTGAGAGTGACAGCTATATCCTACCTAGGAAGAGAGATCCCAACAAAGACCTTGAAAAATGGATGACCCATCTGTTCAGACTGGACCCCGCAATACTGCTGCCACTGGAGGGAGTGCTGTTGTGAAGTACTGTCTGTACTCTGCTGTGAATGGTGTAGTGGATGGAATTGCCTCCCAGACCTTTGGCTACAGCTGTACTCTTCATTGCCAGATGGCTTACAGCCAGTGCATGTGACTGATTTACTCCTTCCTTAAATCACATGTCAGAAGTGTCAATAATTTATCCCTATCTGGTGAGGGATCCTGACGGCTGAGTTCTTCTTGAGCTCTACAGTATTTGGAGTGTCCCACAACCAAGCATTGGCTAGGAGCCTTGCCTTTGAGGCACTGGAGGTTTGACAACCATAGACAAAGGTAGAGGCTCAGGTCATGGTTGCACTGTTAGAAGAGGCATAGAGCTAAGTCCCATTTGCAGGTTGACACTGATGTTATAGAAAGGGAGTTGAAGACTTCACAGTGCTCTTCAGAGCCTCTTCTGTAACTGAGGGTTCTGTCTTTCAGCAAAACTCATCTGAATGTGCCAGGCTGAATTACTGCTGTGAGTGTAATTTTTGCTCAATTCACATACACAGTCAGTGCACCAATACTATGTAATTACATTGCATCTCTTGCACTTCGGGATAAGTCAACTATCAAAGGAACAGGGCTGTTCTGTTCTGTTGGGTTTATGACCTGGCTGTGAGTCTGCAAAGGACCACAGTGATATTAAGCAACAGGAAGCATAAAATTGCATTGCCTGCTTACCTGCTGACTAGTCAGACTTGCAGCTTGTCATTATTTCTGTATCTGTAAGACCTTTCTTAAGCTAGGTAGGGCATGATTATTTAGAGAATTAGAATGAACCATTTGAAATGCATCTTGTGAAAGTTAAATATGATTCCATTGTTATTATGGGCCTTTTCTCAAGTTCTGTTATCATAATTACACTGTGGGGATGCTATAAGAGAAGCGGGGGTGAAAGAGGACAACTGATGGACATGAGCAGCACCAAACCCAAAATTTTCTATGTCTGAAAACATTTTAAGAGGTCTAATCTTTTGAGGTGAGTAGAATACATATTACCAGTTGAAGTTTTCATACTTGAGATCTTTGCAAGTCTGGCTGTTGAGTGCCTGAACTTGGGCACTCAAAGATCAGCCAAAAAAACTTTGGGAAATTCTAGGAAGAAATATATGAAAAGGGTACTGGGATTGAACTGTTCTCAAATTAAAACTAGAAGGAGCCTAAATACACTCCCCTGAGCCAGATACGGGCTTACTGTGTTATTCTGACAGCTCTGCAGGATAACTCAACAAAGTGGTGATGCTGGTACCATAATGTCTTGGGAAGTAACCCAGGGATGAGAATCCTGCATTACAGTATATTTCAGGATCATTTAAACATGGCACATGTAGGGGCCAGATCCCAATCTGCAGACCCTTCTTGCTAACCGCACCTGCATGTATGCGCACAGGGACTTGCACAAACACTTCTGGCAGCTCAGCAGTTGCCAAGCTCTGCTTGCTGGCTCTGGGATCTCTGCTGCTGGATGGAGGCAATGGGAATGATGTGCCATTGTTACCCCCTGAGGATGGGAGAAATGTTTGTATATTCCCTCCAGCATGCTGTTGCTTGTCCCTCCTGGTCTCCAGAGGCAGCATGGGCTGCATGCCTGCCTTCTCCTGTGGGCTCCAGCCATTTTCCTCCTCTGCTCTAGGTAAAGGCAACAGTCAACTGGACCTGCTGCCCAACCTGCAAGCTGCCAAAGGGACCAGGCCAGCACACCAATAGGCCATTCTGCCCCAAATCTGACTAGTCCCATGCAGAGAGTCCTTCAGACAAATTTTGTTTATTTGTTTTCAATGTAGACTGAGACAACTGGCTAAAAATATCCAGCAAGAGACTAAGAAGGGGAATAGGGGAAAAAAAATGGGAAATAGGCTATCAGACAGAACCTGTGAACATGCCAGTTCAAATGGCTTGTTGCTGGCATCCTCAGTCCCACTGCCCTAGCAGCACCATGGTTTCAAACAACTCTGCTCATTTTCTCAACAGTGACTCTGTAGAACTCATGGTATGGTTCAAATGAAAAGGAAATGATATAAGTAAAAAGAAAAAACATGTTAATACAATATATACAGGTCTCTGGAAACACAGTAGCATCAAACTTGGCAGACAGAAACCTAGCCTTCTAGCCATGAGGCTAACTTGAAAAAGCCTGTTATTTATTCACATAGCGCATTCACATAGGTCCACAGGACCTGTCAGGGGAAAGAAGTGGCAATGACGAATAATGCATTCCTGCTAGTGATATCACCAGCTCAACCTTCTACACAGACAATTCACTCTTCCTTCAGCCTCCACAGGCTGTTCCTGGACCTGCATGCAGGCTTCAGAGACCCTTTGAGAAATGACTAATGAATTGATAAGTCAGAAAGGGCAGAGAGCATTTTTTTCTGTGAAAACTAAAAGGAAAGAAGCCTACCTGGGTTCTGTGGGGGTGATGGAAGAGGGGGGTGAAGGAGCAGCTGGAGCATTGCTTTGTAGTACAGATGACTGCATGCTTCCATCTACCCGGGGATGCTGACAGGCCCTATGCCACCTATTTACATAGTTAGATTTGGCCACTGTTGATACTCAGATATGAAGAGACACTAGTACAAGATAGCAAGTGTCCTGCAGGCTCAGCAGGGTCTGTGTGCAAAGCCCCAGGGAGGATCTGGTGGGCCATCAGGTTCAGCAACTGTTTACCAGCAAGTGATTCTGAGCACCTGCTCAGACCACAAGAGCTCGGACTCTACAAGACTTGTCCATCACTTTCTGCTTGAAAGACTTATAAGCTGTGCTCCCACCCACACTGAGCCAGTCTCAGCTTCTGGAACACGTGCCCTAGCAGGAAGTTGACTGCTTTTTTCTGGTTATGAAACACAGTCCCTCCTAAGCCTCCATCACTCATTGCATCAGGCAATACACAGTGTTCTCTTTGGTCCCTCTTCACTCTTCCAAACCAAGCTCACACAGACTCTTCTCACCTGCGGATGCAAGCCCAGCAGCCTGTTCCTGCTGCCCGTGATGCCCCCCCAAGAAGTCATACAGTGGGTAACTGCAGATATGCTCTGTATTTGAAAATATGCCCACACTGCCAATACAAGCCCCTGGCTTGTCCTAGTGGGCCAGCTGAAGGCTAGAACACTAGCACTTGGGGAACTGCAGTCACCCTGCTTGTCTAACTACTGGAAAATTCCTATTTCTCCACCAGTACCCTTCCTGACTCCACCATCCAGGCCCAGCACCCCTTGCTGAACTCACCTCTTCACCGTGCGGAGCAGGGTAGATCGCGCCTCATTGTGGAAGGTGATGATGAGACTGGTAGCTGGCAAGTCAGTGTCATAGCGTACAGAAGTGCACCTGCAACACAGAAGAGCAGAAGTGTAAGACAAATATCACCCAGCAGCAGCCACCGCAGCAATGTACCTAGAACTCCTAAGAAGAGAGTAATATGCTAAAATCAGAAACAGCACAATTGAGCTGCAGCAAGGGAGGCCTCAGCAGATCTTGTACCAAGGTTGGCAGAGCTTAAAAAGACCTGTGCCTGTTGAAAGGCAGTTTTGAGGCTGTGATACCTAAGCCTGCAAAGGTGCACACTAAGGAGGGCATGTGGGTTTTACAGTGAGAAAAGATTCAACAGCATGGACTCTAGTCCCTGCATTTACCTGTGATTCACATAAAATCTTGTTTATTCATGCATAGGACATGCATATGCTGAGGATGCATGGAGCTGGTACACCCAGGCATCACTGAATAAAGCACTTCAAATTCTTTGGATATTGAACTTTACAGAAAGGAAAACACAAGCTAGTGCTGTGATCTGCATTGGGGAGTTGCTGAGGTTCAACACTAACAGCTCAGTGGGCAGTGAAGAGCAATTCCTTATGTCTTCCCATCTGACTTTGTAATGTTAGGTACATACATACATTCTCACACTCAGAACTAAGGATTAATATGCACCAGGGCTGTTCATACCCTGTGGAGAACAAAGTTTCTGTGAGGGGAACAACTCACAAAAATGAATCCTGAATCCAGTTCTGGCAGATGCTAAGTATGGCAGATTTGGGCTGATCTGCTCCTCCAAAGTGTCTGCCTTCTTAACTTCCAGCCAGGGTAAAACTGCAGTCAGCCAGCACTAATTCCCTGTCTGATGAGGAGTCCACACCTGTTTTTAACAATTCAAGGCCACGCATAGACTGAATCCATCCTGGGAGGGAATACAAATCACTTCTTAGAGCCACTAGTTGTATTTCCACATTTACTTACTATTCTTTTATGGTTATTGCTAAACTGTTACTGTTTTTATCATCACATTTGATTCTACTGGTTTATGAGTTTTTCATTGCAATGTTTTATTAAGGGGACAGCAGCTTCATACAACAGTTTATAAACATATAAAGAAACCTTTGATAAAGACTCAAGTGGAAAATGTGAGACCAGACATGAGACATACCATATTTATTATTGTTTCAAAATAACTCTATGATGTAATGCATACAAAATGTATTGAGGAATCAGGAAGTGGAAAAGCAGAAGAGGCTCATGTATGTGTTATTTGAGGAAGTCATCTAAAGATTTCAGCATTACTACAGCACCACAGAGGACAAGGACAAGATTTGCACTTGAAAGTTGACCCTGTCTTTGCTTTGGATCAAAGAAACAGTTACATACTAAGGCAGAAGGAACTTGTAGGATATGGAGTCAAGTATGTCCGTGCTCTGCTTGGGTGCCTGAAGAAAAATTAGCAAGTTAGTGACCTACTGACTCTCCCTATTCCCTAAACACAGAGCCAGGTCCACAATCTAACTTGTATCAGCTGAAATAAGTCTTCATCCTGAGTTGCCATCCCAGCAACTATTTCAATATTGTTATAAGGCAAGATACTCAAATACAGTTCCCTCATTCTCCAATTGCCACTCCTGCAAAGGGGAGGAATATGGAAATAGGTTTATTTGTTCTGATTATATACTACTTTGGACTCCCCATTGCTCCAGGGGATCCTTGCAAAGCTGGGTCTGAAATGGCCATACATTGGCTGGGGATTATATATATGTTGCTCTTCAGACTGAAGTGCACATATGAGGCTTTGCACAAAAAGCATGCTCTGCATGCTAATGCAGATCAAAATAAACAATAACTCATCTTTGAAGTGAGCTGGTTTTCGGCCAGAACATGACAGCAGATTAACAGAAAACAGCAATTCTGCATGGCAGGGAGACTTGTCAGTACCACAGAACATGGCACTGCTGCCTCCAAGCCACTAGGAAACCAATCCCAAGTACTATGTTGGGGAACAGGAGCACAAGACTTGGATCCTACAACCAAGGTCCCGACTGCTTCCGTTCATAAGGACTCTGATGGCTGTCAGTGCTGGCAGGCTTACAAAGCTCCATGTCTCCTGACATCCCTTTCACAGTTTCAATCAAGTTAGATGCCTGGTTTCCTGTTCCCAGCAGCTGTGAAATGGTGCTTTGCAACCACAGACAGGGTCTAAGACTTAAGTAGACTGTTTGACACTATCCTATCCCTATCAAACCTACACTTTTCAAGATACAGCATTACCTTTTTCTATTCCAGAAACTACATTACCTGAGCACTATTAGCAATTTAAGGATGAGTTTATTCAGCTGAATAAATTCACCCCCATTGAAATAAGGACAGAACAACAGGACTTCGCAAGCCATCAAACTGTAGTTGCACTTTAGTTTTATCCCCACCCCAGCAGCCTTCATCCAAACAGTAATGCTCAGGCTGGAAAGAAGGCACCAAACCAGCTTCAGACAGCCAGGGCACAGCAGGTGATGAACACTAGAGCAAAGCAAGACTGCAACAAAGGTATACTTTGCAGCCAGGAGAGGGAAGCCATGAATGTGAGGGGAGTTGTGCAAAAAAAAACTGTCAGATGAGCAATATGAGCTGCAATTGAGGAGCTGTGCTAAAAAAAGTTGATGCTTGGACCTGGAAAAAGAGATGCTAGAAAGGTCACAAGCTGGGGCTGAATTAGTCAAGGGTCTCAGAGCATTTGAGATCCTTCCAGATTAACCATCCAATTCAGTGAAGTAACAGACCAATGCTGGTAAAGAAAAACCCCAAACATCTTTGGTCAACATTGCAGAACAACACAGGAGGACAGTGGTCTTCCTGCCCTAAGCAGCAGCCATGGCTTAGAGCAAGGGCTGCAGGGTACCTGTAGTGCCTGGTGTCCCGAATGAGTCGATCGCTGCTGAGTTTGTCGCTCTCCAGCTGATTAAAAGCGTGCTGGCGGTAAGGATCTTCTCCAGCCTTCAGCTGCTTTGAGGACAAATAAGCCTTTTCATCAAAACCCCTTCGGCTGTTCTTCTCTCCTTGGGGAGTCCGCGTCATCTAGAGCAGACACAAGCATGAGAGCATCAGGGAGAGCAGCCGACACGTGGTTAGACACAGATAATAAGTTCAGATATTGCCACACATCTGTAAGTGGCTCAGGTATGGAGAAAGACAGGAGAGGCAAGAGCTTGGAAATGAGAGCAGGAAACCCTCATAGACTGAGTTTTATAATTGCCTTCTCTGAGGAAAATTGCAGGCCTCACTATCCTTGCCAACTGAGCTTGGGATGAAAGCTGATGTTCCTGATAGCACAGGCAGAGCCAAATTCCCTTTAGCACTTGTTACACAGAATGTGTGAGGCTGCAGACATTCGGAAATCCTTCCAGGAGATGCATGTTTGAGAGCAGTCTCCAGCCAAGGTGGCTGAAACACAGTATTTTGAGGAAAAACAGTTTCAGCCTTTTGATAATCACTATTTCATACAAATACAGAGGCAGCTGATTTAACAAGTTCCCTGCTGTGCCTTGCCCAGATTTTCCCAATCTCACAGAAGTCCATGACACAGTTGAAAGCTGCACGTGACTGTCCCCAGTACCCCACAAGAGTTAAAATACCTGAGCCATCCCTCTCCTCTCCTAATTTTCCTCTAGCTTTCTGAGGCCATAGAGTCAGTGCAAAACCAGCACCTAAAAACCATTCACTAGGGTCACCAGGTGAGAGGACAGGCACAGCTGTGGCCCATGCTGAACTTTTAGGAGATTTTGGTTGGAAACAACATACAAACTCTAAAATATTGGATTATAAAGCAATCGGGATTGTTCATACAATAGAAGTAGTTTAACAAATTGTCTGTGGTAGCCGTTTGGTAGACCAAGTCACGAAGAAGCCATAAAATATTCCCAGCCTTGTACGAGGGAGTGCTGGAGCTCCCTAAAACTGCTGCAAGAGGCAAATACTGGCACATACACGTCTCATTCAGGGCACTGGATAATCCTCAGATCTTGAGATCATTCTATGTAAAATAGTTTGGATACTCTCTAATACCAGCCTTGATCACATTTCTCCCTCTGCTAAAGAGCTCCTTTTAGGAGTTATAGAGGGCAAGAGATCAGAGAGTGGTCCCCAGTATCATACAGCATTTTGCTTGAGCCATCTTAGTGGGTTGGGAAAGAATTCAGGAGACCCACCACCACAGCAAATTCCTTAAGCAAGAGAGTGCTTAGAAGAACCTACATATCTCCAACTTTCTCTGAGAAGGGCTACCTTGCAGTACAGACAGCCCTAGGAGAACCAGAGTGTTGGATAAGAAGATGGCAAATGAAATTCAGCACAGAGAAGTGTAAGATAATGAACATTAGAAAAAACAAATTGAACTACTCATGTACATTGATGGATTTCAAATGAACCATGACCACTCAGGTTACAGATCTGAGCATCCCCATGAAATGAATGCTCAAATGAAACCCTGCACTCGGTCTGCCGAGATGGGAAATACGGAAAATTGAGTGCACTGCAAATGGAACAGAGAAAACTGAAACCATTGTGAACAATTATTCGAATCAGTGACAACTCAGCAGCCGTGGCCAGAGCACAAGTTTTGTCAAGCCTGTCTCTGGAAGGAAGCTACTGGAGGATGAAGAGAAATTAGAGGTTAGGACTATTCCATTTGGAGAGAAGACAAATGAAGTCAGAAAAAAAATGAAGATGGCCCATAAAAATTATGCCTAATTCAGCCAAGGTCAGCCTGATGCTCATATTTCTCCTTCTTATCTTACCATACAAGAATGAGGGAAACCTCTTTTCATAGGGAAAAAAAAGCGTTCCTATTTTCAACAGAAAGAAACTCCTTCAGCCACTGCACAACCAAGCCTATGCTATGGCGTAGGACACACATAGGTATATTCCAGTGGATAAGTCTGCCTCTGTTCTGCTCCTCCAGGCAGAGAACGCCCTGCTCTGCCACCCCTTCTCAAGGCTGCCATCCTCTCCCACCCCTTGCAGTCATCACTGCCACAACCCCACCAACCAGGCATGTCACTGGGTTATGGTAACATCTCAGTTACTTTTATGGCTGGTTTCACAGCCTGCTACCTAGAATCTCCCTTGAAATTGTATTTTCAGGATGACGAGGAAAATAATTACTTTCATACCTCTAAAAACTGAAATGTTTTCTTTCTCTAAATCATACTAGGAGTTTTGTCAAACTTAGTTTCCATTTCTCTTTTTCCTTTCACCCTAGAAAACAATGCTGATTTGCAGCAAAAGCCCAGCTTATCACATGCCTTTAAATATTTTGCAGTCACTCGCCCTCTGCTACTTATGTCTCCCTGAGGCCCCTGAAAAGTAACAGCTCATTTTGGTTTATATTGCCAGGAACATACTAGAAAATGCTGGAACTGGCAATAAATTTTCAGAAGACATTTTTCTCAGGGCGGTGCAAAGGTTGGGGACTCCTCATGGTGTGGAGCAGGGTCTGGCAGCCAGGGACCAACCCACACCCCAGCCAGAAGTTGAGCACCAGCGAGGGGCACCAGGGCAGCCCCAGCCCCAGGTATTGGGTACCTCTCTGGGGACAGGACGGGATGGGGGCCCCAGGCAGGCAAGGCTATTGGGAGGCGGAGACCAGCCCTGCTGCAGTGTCACTGGGGCAGGGGCTGAGAGACCCTGGGGTCCTGGCCATGGGCAGGGTGGGGAAAGTCTCAGGGGGCTGACATGCGGTCCTGGGCCATGGGCAAGGTGGGGAGAGTTGTGGGAAGTGAGCAGGGACATGACTAGTGACCTCAAGGCTATGATACGTTTAAACTTGAACTATCAGGGATAATTCCTCTAGATACTATGGTTCTCACATAGCTTATACATCAAACAGTGGTAGAAGAGCACTTGGAATTGATTGTCAGTTAAGAATTAAGTCCCACTTGTAGTTTATCTCAGACAGTATCTCTTTGTGCTCTCTTCAAACAGGCAGAAGAGAAGTTGCAGGGGATGATAGCTAGGAGGGTCTGGCTTCAGCTTCCAGAAAGGCAGCTAATCAATAGATAATCAACAAGTAATCAAACATTCATCTATGAGCACCATGACTATAACAAGGTAATAAATAAGAGCCAACTGAGATTTGTCAAGACAGATCACATCAGACCAACATAATTTTCTCCTGTGATGGAATAATCAGGCTCAAGGGTGTGGAAAAGCAAGAGATAAGATACTTCATGACTTTGATAAGGTTTTTGATATGGGCTGTTAAGATGTTGTCATTAGCGAGCTAGAAAAATAATAGTCTGGGTGAAACTACTGAAGAATGGGTGAAATGGTTTGGAAAACCACTGTCTGAGCAGAATTATTAGCTGTTCACTGCCAGAGCAGAGGGGCTGTGGTGAGAGCAGGTCTTAAGGGTTTGTTCTGGATCCAGTACCACTCAGTATTTTCATAAGTACCTTGGCTATTCAGAGTATGTATGTCAAATCCATAGGAAATCCAGAAAAAATGTCAGACACATTAGGTAACAGGATGAGAATTCAAAATTATCTCAATATATGGGAAAAAAATGTCTGAAAACAGTAAATGCAATTCAATAGGGGCACCACAGACCCCTACAGTTCATCAGGTAATGTAATTACACACTCTCTATCCCTACGCTTGAGGCTGAGACTACAAGGTGGAGTTAGGGCAGCAGAAGACCCCAGTTCCTTATGAGTGATGCTCTGTGATAGATCAAAAAAAAAAAAAAAAGAAGTGCTACACAAAAGCAGAAATAAAGATGAATAGGTACTGGAAATGTGAGTGTCTAGACTAGGGATTAGCAAATAGTTTGCACAAATTAAATTTTGTCCCAAACATTGCTGAGGCATCCAACAAAATTTGCATATTGAAATTTCAGGAAATACCCTAAACCTTCTAATCTTATTCTGCCCTTTTTCATTTTCATAAATGCTTTTCTCTTTCAGTGACGGAATGGACTCAGATGCACTTCTGCTGTTGAAAGTGTGTTCTTATTTGCGTTTTGACACGGTTCAATAGACCAGACACTTTATAAATAGTGAAATTAACTTTGTTAGCGAGGGATTAAGGGTAAGGAATGAATGCCATGCACATCTATGAAAACTTGAGAAACTCATTTCTTGACTAACACAGAGATATTCCTCTAGGCCTGATTCCTTGTGAAATAGTAAGACTATAATACAGACTGTGCCATTCACCTCTGTGCATTGTCACTGTCTGCCATCAGACACAGGCATACCCACTGCCACATTGTGCTAACAGCCACTAAAACCAGAGCTGGGGAATTCAGGGCCCCAAGATGCATTTTTTTAACAGCAGGTTTGGCCAAATTCAAAAAGAATAACCATACCCCACAGGTCACGAAGAATTGTTACTTAATTAGAGTAAGGTATGCAAAACTCTCAGAGGTAAATGCAATTAATAATTTTACAGTTACTGTAAACTTAGTCCAATAGCACTTTTATGTGACATGATGTATACTTTGCAGTACTAGCACTTCTTACAAGTATTTAGTGCTAGTACAACAAACGGAGCAGGGGTTGCCATGCTTCTCCTTTGTTCTAAGCTCATTTTCATGACTGTATCAGCTCTGCCAAACCCCCAGAAACGCAAAACATCAATTCCAAGCCATCCCCAGTAAGTGGAAGACCTAACTGATCAATTGATCAATATGACACAAAGCAAGCCAAAGAGTAACAACTTCACCAAATCTTCTTCCCTTTCCAGACCCCCCTTCAACTTATCCCACTGCTGCAGCCTCACATTCTGCCACTGACATGATCCTCAACCCTGTCAGCATCTCCCTCCCACCAGTTCTGCAGGTCTCAGCAGATTCTTCCCCTCTGAACTGGTTTCATGCCAGTTTCAACCCACTGGATTGAGATACAACCTTGCTGGCTGAGCAAATCCTCTTCTTTCAGAGCAAAGGTCAGAGCCAAGTCACCTCTGCAAACCACAGTGGAGCTGCTGGGGCCTGCATGGTGTGAAATTTTTCTCTGGAAAAATCTGGTTTACTCTACATGCTCCATATGCTGTCCTAGTGACCTGAAGACAAGTCCCAG